AGGCTGCATTGCTGTGGGCTGCAGCACCATTGCTGTGTCCTTCCCCTTCATGGCCTCTGCTCTCAGCCCTCCCTCTGGAGCCTGAGGTGCTGCCAGTCTGGTCTGGTGCAGCCCTTTTTGTACTGGTTTTGGGCGTACGATGAGCATTCTGTTGCCTGTTCCATTGCCATGAGAAGAGCAGGAGTGGTGCTGGAGGTCCTTTTCTCTGTGGCTGTGGGAACCTTTGTGCTCTGTGTTGGACTTAGATGAGGGACAGGTAGAATGGGTGCTTTGTATCTCCAGTCCCTGGGAGCATCTTCTGTCTGTAGGATGAGGATGAGCTTACAGAAGGAGTGGGTGTTGCAGAAGTCCCTTTCTGCATGGGTGCAGGTGCCGTCTGGGTCCATGAGAGACCTGGATGTGGAAGAGGTACATCAGTGGCTGTAGTTCTTGCTTTGCCTAAGGCTGTGAGTGAGGATGTGTTAGAGATCCTGCTCATGTTGAAGAGCTCCCATTGTCCGTTGCTACAGGCTCTTTGTGGCTGCTCTGTCTTATGTGGCCTGTTTGTGTTGCAGATACCTGAGGAGGTGGGTCTTTGTTTTGGCCATGAGGGTGGGCACCTTCTGGCTGTCTTTGGGATGAGGCCTAGAGTGTCCCTTTCTCCTTGGGTGCAGGTATCATCTGGCTGCATAAGAGCCCTGGCTGTGGAAGACTTACATGAGTGGCTGCAGCTCTCGCTTTGCTTTGGGCCCCTTCTCCTAGACTGCTGTAGGACGTGTGAGAGATGCTGCAGAGCTTTGTTGTCCATGGCTATGGGCACCTTTTGGCTGCCAGTGTTGCCTGCATGGGGAACAGATGCTTGAGGTGGCAGGACCCTCCTGTGGCCATGAATATTGACAGCTCTTCCTGTGTGTAGGATGAGGAAGGGGCAGGGATAGGTGGGTGTTTTGTAGCCTCTGAGTCTTTGCTCTCTCGTCTCCTTCTGTGCCAGTGTGGGCTGCTGCAGCTTTCCGTAGGGGTCTGTTGTAAAGGTTGATGCTGCCATGCCATCAGGAGTGGTGCTGCCAGCATCTGTTTTGGGAACTTCCAGTGGGAGAGGGATTTAAGTTTTCCCTTGTACATCCTTTTGTGAAGCTCCTTGCAAGCCCAGATTGGGGTAGATGCTAGGACTCCTTACCTGTGCTACAGAGCACTGAGAGCTGTCTGGCAGACTGTTGGGTTGGGAGCATGCAAGAGCCCTGGTCTGGTTGCATCCCTGTCCTGGAGCCTGTGTGGAATTGTCCGGTGCAGCTGCACAGGACTAAAGAGGCTGCATTGCTGTAGGCAGCGGTGCCGTTGCTGTGGCCTTCCTCTTCATGGCCTCTGCTCTCAGCCTTCCCTCTGGTTCCTCCGCTCCTGCAGGTCTGGTCTGGTGCAGCCCTTTTTGTACTGGTTTTGGGCGTACCATGAGCATTCTGTTGCCTGTTCCATGGCCATGAGAAGAGCAGGAGTGGTGCTGGAGGTCCTTTTCTCTGTGGCTGTGGGAACCTTTGTGCTCTGTGTTGGACTTAGATGAGGGACAGGTAGAATGGGTGCTTTGTATCTCCAATCCCTGGGAGCATCTTCTGTCTGGAGGATGAGGATGAGCTTACAGAAGGAGTGGGTGTTGCAGAAGTCCCTTTCTGCATGGGTGCAGGTGCTCTCTGGCTGCATGTGAGACCTGGATATGGAAGGGGTACATCAGTGGCTGTAGCTCTCGCTTTGCCCAAGGCTGTGAGGGGGGATGTGTTAGAGACCCTGTGGATGCTGAGGAGATCCCATTGTCCATGCTTACAGGCACCTTGTGGCTGCCCTATCTCATGTGGCCTGTGTGGGTTAAAGATATTTTAGGTGGTGCAGCTCTCCTTTGGCCATGAGTGTGGGCACCTTCTGGGTGTCTTTGGGATGAGGCCGAGATTATAGGAAGGTTGGGTGTTACGGATGTCTTTTTCTCCTTGGGTGCAGGTACCATCCTGCTGCATGAGAGGCCTGGCTGTGGAAGACTTACATGAGTGGCTGTAGCTCTCGCTTTGCTTTGGGCACCTTCTCTTGGAGCCTTGCAGGAGGACGTGTGGGAGATGCTGTGGATGCTGTGAAGCTCCCATTGTCCGCGGCTGCGGGCGCTTTCTGGCTGCCAGTGTTGCCTGGGTGGGGAGCAGATACTTTAGGTGGTAGCAGTCTCCTTTGGCCATGAGCATTGGCACTTCTTGTCTGTGTGCTGAGGACGGGGCAGAGGTGCTGTGGGTGTGTGGCAGCCTCTGAGGCTTTGCTGTCTCGTCTGCTAGTCTGCACTAGTGCCTCTTTTTTATAGGGGTCTGGGGCTGACTATGTCACGAGCCCCATTGTGACGTGGAGTCTGCGGGTTGACATGACATGGAGCTGTGGGTCGGCTGTGATGGTGCTGTGACATGAGGAGTGCTGGTGCCAGGATCTGTTTTGTGGACTTCCAACGGGAGAGGATTTTATAGTTTCCCTTTGCACATTCCTTTCGGGAGCTCCTTGAAACCCAGGATGTGGTAGAGACCAGGAGTGTTTTACCTGTGCTTCAGAGCTCTGAGATCTGCCTGGCAGACTGATGGGTTGGGAGCGTGCAGGAACCCTGGTCGGGTTGCATCCCTATCCTGGAGCCTGTGTGGAGTTGTCCAGTGCAGCTGCAAAGGACAAATGAGACTGCATTGCTGTGGCCTTCCCGGGCCTGGCCTCTGCTCTCAGCACCCCCTCTGGTGCCTCCGCTGCTGCCAGTCTGGGCTGATGCAGTCCTTTTTGTACCTGTTTGAGGCCTACGATGAGCATTCTGTTGCCTATTCCTTGGCCATGAGAAGAGCAGGAGTGGTGCGAGGGTCTCTTTTGCTGTCCAGATCCTCATCTCCCCAACTGTTCTTTTCAGCCTCCTGTGAACCAGAATAGTTCCAGATATGTTGCTGTAGCAGCGCTGCTGTTGCCAGTGTCTTTGGGCACCTTCTTTCTGGGAGTAGGACTACAACAGGGTATGGGCAGTGTGGATGTTGTGGAGCTGTCGGTGACAGTGGCTGTGGGCACCTTTGAGGTTTTCTTGGGACCTGAGTATGGGAGAGATCCAGTGGGTGCTGTATCTCTGCATGTGCCAAAGGGCTGTGGTGAGCTCCTGGCTGTGTGTAGGCTGAGGACGGTGCAGAGGTGCTGTGGGTGTGTGGGAGCCTCTGAGTCTTTGCTCTCTCGTCTCCTCCTCTGCCTGTCTGCACTGGTGCATCCTTTTTATAGGGGTCTGGGGCTGACTGTGTCATGAGCCCCATTGTGACATGGAGTATTATGAGCTGTGGGTTGCCTGTGACGGTGCCATGCCATCACGAGCGCAGCTGCCAGGATCCCTTTGGGAACTTCCAGTGGGAGAGGATTTTATAGTTTCCCTTTGCACATTCCTTGCACTGAAATGAAAATGTACTGTTTGTCCAGAGGAGGCCACGGAGCTGCTGCGAGGGCTGGAGCAGCTCTGCTCTGGATCCAGGCTGAGAGAGCTGGGCTGGTTCACCGTGGAGAAGAGAAAGCTCCTTAAGGGGAGACCTGAGAGCAGCTCCAGTGCCTAAAGGGGCTGCAGGAAAGCTGGAGAGGGGCTTGGGACAAGGGCCTGTAGGGACAGGCCAAGGGGAATGCCTTTAAGCTGCCAGAGGGGAGACTGAGATGAGCTCTTAGGCAGAAGCTCTTCCCTTGGAGGGTGCAGAGAAGCTGTGGCTGCCCCATCCCTGGCAGTGTTCAAGGCCAGGTTGGACACAGGGGCTTGGAGCAAGCTGCTCTAGTGGGAGGTGGCAGGGATTGGGGCTGGATGTGCTTTAAGGTCCCTTCCAACCAGTCTGGGATTCTTTGAAATCCTTAAAAAGAATGGCTGGGTTTGGGTGAGGAAATGCTGTTACCTCTGGGATCTGTGGGAAGAGGAGCTCAGTAAAGTCTAAAGAAATTTGACAGCAGCAGGTCATCCTTGCTGATGGTTTTGGAGGTTGTCTTTAATACCTTTGGCATAGAAGACATGTTCCGTTGGCCCAGCCTGCCTGTACAAGTGCCTGGCTGTGCTGATCCTCTTTCAGTTTGAAGTGCAAGGTGTGCGTTTGTCTGTCTGTGAACTAAAGCCAAGTTTTTCCGTGACTTCCCTGTGCTTTGCACATCTGTTTGTCAGTAGAAGATAACACCTGCATTATCTTCCAGCTGCTTGGTTCAGCGCAGACTCTTACATCCTCTAATTGAACCGGTGTCAGGCAGGACATGCAATGGGAGCGCAGGAGTTTCCATCCGGACATCAGGAAACACTTTTTCACCATGCGGGTCACCCGCACTGTTACGGGTTAAACATAGAGGATGTGGAGTCTGCCTCTTTTGAGATCCTAAGAACTCATCTGGATAGGACCCTGCACAAGCAGCTCTGGGTGGCCCTGCTTGAGCGGGGATTGGACAAGAAGACTTCCAGAGGTGCTTCCAGCTTCTTCCTGGTTTTGACTGTGAAATGCTTTGGGGACTGGAAACCCTCAACAGATCCAGTAAGCCCAGAGGGAGAAGATACAGCTACTGTCATCAAACAACTTCAGTAGAATTAGTAATGTGTTGACTTTTGATTCCTAAATACAACATTTTGTGCTCCAAGTGGTGAGATCATGTGTGTCTGTGTTTCTGTAGTCCCTTTTTGAGTTTATTCCTCATGATGTTGATAATACCAGGTATTAAAAACCACCTGTGTTGTATCTTCAGGGAAAAGAATTTGGGATTGAGCCTGTGACTCAAACTGAAAGAGGGGAAGTTCAGGTTAGATAAAAGGCAGAAGTTCTTTACTGTGCAGGTGCTGAGGCGCTGGCACAGGGTGCCCAGAGAAGCTGTGGCTTCAAGGCCAGGTTGGACAGAGCCTTGGGCGCCATGGTCTAGTGTGAGGTGTCCCTGCCCGTGGCAGGGGGTTGGAACTGGATGATCTTAAGGTCCTTTCCAACCGAGGCCAGTCTGGGATTCTGTGATTCTCTGATGTATCTTGATTTGGTCTCTTCCAGCATTCATCACTCTGCTGAATGGAGAGCAGGCACAAAACGCCATTGGGAAGTATCACCAGTATTCTCTTTGGGGAAAAGAGATATCAGTGCAACTGCAGCCGACAGATGCTTTGCTGTGCATTACCAATTTACCCACTTCGTTTACCTTGGAAGAGTGTGAAGAACTTGTGCGTGCCTATGGCAATGTTGAGAGGTGTTTCTTGGTCTATAACGAAGTTACTGGCCATTCCAAGGGCTACGGCTTTGTGGAATACATGAAGAAGGACTCCGCTGCCAAGGCCAGGCTGGAACTTCTGGGGAAGCAGTTGGAGGAGAGCACTCTCTTTGCACAGTGGATGGACGTGAACCAGCTCACCCCAAATCTTATTCACTCTAAGTGCCTTTGTGTGGAGAAATTTCAGAAAGACTGTGCTGACTCCAAAGAACTGATCCAAGCTTTCTCCCTGAAGTATAAACCTGTGTTCTGCCAGGTATGTTCAGTTTGTATCTTCTGGAAGGTCAGGGTTGTGATTTAAGTAGCTCTGTATTTCTGTGATTCCCTGCTTGCTTCCTAATACTTGTGTTTTTCATGTAAGTAGTGAATGGTTCTGCATCTGCAGTGTGATGTATGCTGTGGTACAGCTGCTTTCTTGGTGCTTGTTTGCAGTGGTGCTGTGTGTTAGCTGGGGATTGTGCAGAAGACTCCTGTGAGCACCAGTAAAATGTTTGTAGGACATCCCCTTCCTCGTGCTTTGGATTGAAAGCCAATTTAGAAATATTTCAGAGAGCCTTTGAAGTGCGCATGGCTGTTGGTTTTATTGCTCAGTAAAGAAAGCAAGCCTGTGAGTCTATGAGTACCACAAGTGCAACAGTTTAGATGGTGGAGAAGATATATATAAACACACATATGTGTGTGTGTGTAATTCATATATTTAAGAAATGTCTGCAAACATCAGATGTTGTTTTTCCCTAACTGAATAAGATGTAGCTTGGGATCTAGATGTTACTGCCAGTTGCAGTATCTGTAATCTCCAAGGAGCTCGTTCAGATCTCCTGGAGTTGCCTTACTGCTGTCAAGGAAAGCCTGGGTGAAAAACGTCCTTTTTGTTTCTTAGTTTTCTTAAGGAGCTGGAGTGACAGAGCAGAATGTTTGCAGTCTCGTTCTCATGGAGCTGCCTGTTTCTGTTGGAGATTTCTTTTGCCTTTCAAAATATCCATCAGTCGACGGGATTGCCTTTGAAATTTGAAATGTTTTCATTTATTTGTGGGGGGAAAAAAAGTATTGTAATGTTTACTTTGTAAGAGCTGCAAAGCAAAGTCCTTTAAATAAAGGCTGTCTCTTTAAAATAAGCCCCATCCATGGGTGCCCCTCCCTCGTTCTGTCTGCTGAAGCGCTCTGAAACTTTTCCTGTCAGTAAGATTTTTCTGGAGTGTTTCTGTCAGTGGAGGCAAAGTCTACATTTATCTTTGTAGAACCTTTGGGTTCTATTGCCCTGTCTGTAAGAGAGGTGATAAAGTGCGGAGGGAAAACGCTGAAAGCCTTGCATATTCTGTAACCAAACTCGATGTCAGAGAAGATGGTTTAAGCACTGTCCTTTGTTCTCCTTCGGCAGAAAGAAAGAGTGGAGACTGTGTGGTTGTTAAACACACACACATGTTAACAAGTCCTAATAGAACCATTTTCTAAGTCCCTGTGGCAGGCAGTTGGAATTGGATGAGCTTTCAGTTCCTTCCACCACGAGGCAGTCTGGGGTTCTGTGATTTGGGTTTGTTTCATTGACACCTCTGTCTGTGCTGAGTTTTAATTCTCAGTGTGGCAGACCTTCTTCCAGTGTATGCTCAGATTTAACCCTCTTCAGTGCCCAGTACATAAGGAAGTTTGTGCCAGGTTGTTTGAAAGGATTTTTCTGTGGTTTTGAAGTCGGAGTCATGTTTCTGTTCTTTGACTGATGTCGCTCCCTGACGTGCTCAGTTACAACTCGAGTAGGTAGCAGCAGCCCTAAAGTACTTGTCTGGGTTAAGATGCTTGCACAAATGCTGTGATTTGGGAAAGGGCAGAGAGATTCGGTTCTTCGTAACAAGGGCTTTATCTCCCATAGTGAGTGTTGCTCTATGGAAACGGTTGAGAGAAGGTAGCCGCTCTCCAGCCTTGCTGCAGCAGCTCTAACAAACTGCAGCCATTCACAGCCCCTACAGGAGGGGAAATTCTCACCTGACAGAAACTGAAAATGCGATTGCTATTTTTATTCTGTCATTTTGGGTAAAAGCCTGGGGTTTTAGTTATATCCTTGCAACTTAAATGCCAACTTTCTGCCAGCCAGACGTGTATTGTTTGAGCATTATGAAAGGACAGAGAAAATCTTGTGTTTGAACATTGATGTGGCATTTGAAATTCATTCTAGTGCCATGTTTTATGAGTCACACACGTATGCTGGAAAAGTGGGTTTGGCTGTTCCTAGGCATTACAGTGCTGTCTCACCCTCTGATACCTGCCTGCCTTAGTACTCCAGATGGGTGGTTCTGCTTTGTGGTGTTTCTTCTTGTCGGTGCTCAGGAGCAAAGTGTTCCAGGCAGAGCTGGGAGATGGGATGAGAAGTCTGCATGTGACCAGAGCTGGCCCTTCCCTTGCAGGGGGGTGAATCTGGGTTGGACAAGTGAGGCAGATGGGGATCTCTAAGTTGCTCTGTGGTTGTATATGCTGAGTGATTCCATGTTGGTGCTTCCTTGTGTGTTATGTTCTGAAAATCTTGAGCAGGATAATCCAGCAGGGAGGAGCTGACAGTACTTGTAGGGAGCTGGATGGTCAGGATCATTTCAAGGGCTGCTTGTGGTGCCTGCTGCCTTTAGTTCTCATTTGGGTTACACCTTGCAAGATGAGATCTCAAGTGCCTGCAAGTACTTCTATAAGCAAATGAGACAGCAGGGCAGGTGGGGTTCTTCTTTTTGTAGTCTTTAAGGACTTGGATGTATTTCTTTTCATAAGCAGATGTAGTTTGATGACTGTTGTGATGGGGAAATTGCTTCTGCCAAGTCGGCAGTGGCCAGCAAGGTCACAGTCACTGCAAGCACGACAGTGAAGAGGGCTGGAAAAGTGCAAAGCTTCAGCATAATGGAAGAACCAGCAGTGAGGATTCTCATCCCAAGGGCTGCTGGCCCAAGGCTGTTTCCAGCGCCAGCCAGGTGGTGAAAGGCGGGTGCAAGGTGTGTGTTTGGGATCCCCATGAAGGGCTGCAAAGAACCTTTTGTGTGCAGGGTGTTCTGCTCCTGTAAAACACCAACTGCTGGCTTGAAATGTCTCAGAAGAGGCCTGTGATGGTGAGAAAATGAAGGTGCAAGGTGATGAAACTGTCCCAAGAAGAGGCTGGCATTTCTCTACCCAGTGATGATTGATGGTGTTTTCATTTCCCCTCCGCACTGGAAGCAGAATGGGAAGCAACCAGGAGGGCGAGGAGGATGGGTGAGAAGTGCAAGGAAAGCAGGATACTGCTGATAGCACAGGGGCTCCTAACCTTTGCCAGGAATTCCTTCTGCATTGAAGGAGTGGAGCGGGACAACGCTGAGGGTGGATAAGGCAGCTTTTTGGGCTGCTTTGTAAGTGTTTGCAGGAAGGGGCAGCACCTCCGTTGTCTCCCACCTCAGCACCTCTCTAATGGAGGTACCTGCTCCTGGAAGCAGAGGAAGGCAGCCTCAGGCTCAGGCTGTAGGAGTGCTTGGGGCTGGATGAAATGAAAATAAAGGAGCCGATGCTGCCCACAGGCACCACGGCCGTTGCTCCAAACATCCCTATGGCACATCCATCCCCCTGAGTCCGAGCTTGGTCCTCTTGTTCCCACAGGACAGGCACCTGCACGGGTGCCCTTTTCTATTCCCCTGGGATGGTTTCTCCCGTTGGTTTGATTTAGCCTCTCAGTTTTATCCTCGCTCTTCACTTATTGCTTCTCCAAAACCTCTGCAATGGTTTTACTCTCCCGTTACTGTCAAGTTGTTTTGATGGTGGCAGGAGTTTGAAGCCTGAAAGCACAGTTTTAGCAGGAGCCTTCCTTCTGTTGGCGAATGAGGTGGAAATCTGCAGATGAGCTGCTCGGGGCTATTGGAGTCCTCGGCCTTGCGGCCATCGTGTGGTACGGGGACATCTACCAGTGCATGGAGGGATACGTAGACATGGCGTCCGTGGTGATCATGAGCGATGCCTGAGGTCTGCTTTGGAGACCTGGGACCACTAGGCAAGCCCTGGGGGTGCCTGGAAGCCCCTTAAGGGGAACTGGGAGCATGCCAGAGCCTTGTGAAGGCAATGAAGTAACCCCTGGGGGATACTGGGAACCCCTGGGGGATACTGGGAACCTGTGGGGGTCAACTGGGAGTAACAGGGAGCCCCTCAAAAGACTCTGGGAGTAATTAGGACCCCCAAAATGTTCTGAGAACCTTTCTGGGGGAAACTGAGAGTCACTGGGACTGCGCTTTGTTGTTTCAGAAGATGGTTTTTACACAACTTTGACCAGTGGGAGCGCATCCTGGGGAATTTTTGCCATGGGGAACGCCGAGACTCCATTGGACTGATTTTGGTGCTCAGGCACTGGACAGGAATGGGGAATAGTGCAGGGGTGAGGATTTCAGTGTCAGCGCCACTGCCAGCCCCTGCCCCCAGTAAGAATGGGAAACCCAAAGACTTGAGAGTGATAGAGTTTATTGACTGACGTCCAGGGGTGTAGTACTGATAACCCCAGTACTTATCAATAACGTGTGATGGTATAATAAGAATAAATAATAATAACAGCTGGAGGTCAACGTAATACTAATCTTAATAAGAAGAATTCTGTCTAACATACATTAATCCTATTACTATCTCCTAAGGTATACCTAAATCCTATCGCTACTAATAACAACAACTAACAATAACAACACCTAAAGAATAATGTAAAACTGAGCTAGACTAACAGGAACAATAGCATCAACAAGAATAACAATAAGAAGAACTAGGGAAATAAGGATGGGAGGGGACCTAAGACTACCGGGGGGCTGCTGCCCTCAGGTGGTATTTCAGTGGTGGTGGAGGAGCTCAGCCCAGGAGTGGGGTGTTTTTTCTGGCGGCGGTGGATCTTGAGATGGGAGTTCCTGCCCCGAGTGGTGTTAAAGAGCCTGGAAATTCGAAAACACGCAGGGATTTGTAATTCCTCTTGACAATTCCCCCATCAGCCTGAAGCCAAGCTGCCGAGTTTCTGTTGCTGGGGATTTGGGCAGGTCAGCGTTTAAACAAAGCGCATGGATGGGGTGGAAGGTGGTTGGGAAGGCATGGGAAGGGCGAGGGGAATCCTGAGCTCCACCTCCCCACTCCGGAAGTTTCCATTTTATCCCAAATCAGCTCGTTTCCAGAAGAAGCTAAATCCAGAGTCACCTGTGGCATTCGGGGCAGGAAAATCCACTCCCGTCACTGCCGCCGCTGGGCTGGTGTGGAGCCTGGCGCCGGTTCTGCCCCTTTGGTGGTAGGTTCTGA